AATGCGCGGGCGACGCAGGTCACAAGGCGCAGGGCTTGGATCCCCAGAGTCCGCATTGGCGTTTGACAAAATGCACCCCCCAATGCGCACATTTGAGAGGATACTTCCGCCAGAAATGTTTGAGTGTCAAAATCGCCAAGTGAAACATCGGACACTGGCGAGTGTTCCTTCTTCATTTGACATGCGACCTGGAAGTTGCATCTTTAATCTTCTATGGTAGCACTATTCAGAAAAGTTGGATCATGGTTCTCTGCAGTGATTCTCAGCATGTGTCCGCGACTGATTGCGTCGTCTCTGTTAAAACGCATATGTTGTGCATGGTGTCCTAACCTTCCCAAAGAAAACGTGGGTTTCCAATTCAACGAAACATGATAAGCGCGGTCATTAAGTGGCATCGCTGGGAAGACGATATGCACGTGTTCTCTGAGAAGTAGCAACAGAACTCGTTTATTGAAGTTGAAAGTTTCATCAATTTTCCGGGCACGGAATCTCGTTCTGTGTTGTAAGAAGACCAGTGAACACACGCCTTGCAAAACCGCCCGGACTAAAAGTTAAGAAAAAAAAACCTTTCCAGTAAGCGCCTTTAAATTATCAGATTTCCACCCCAGAATTTTCACGTTCGCAAATCCGAATTCGGAAATAGGTCAACCTATCGGCCTATACTGCACCTGCTCATGCTTATAATATCATGCTTGAAGTTCGTTTTTACCTCAAATGTTTATCTTACTTCCGTCGTACTGAATTCGCTTTGCATAAGTACGTCGATAGTTTAAACTATCGGATATTAGAACAGAAAGTAAAATGGGCTGATAAATAAATATATATAATGCGGTTTTCTAGCTAGAGGTTCTTTTCCATTGCGGTGTTCAACATCTTACTCTGATGTTTAAATCAGTAGTGAGGAGTTAGCATGTCGAAATAGTCATTTTATCAGCCTGCAGATTGGAGTGTCTCTGGGAGGCATGTTTCTTTCGATGGCCACGCTGTTGGAAGGAATTCAAAAATGAGATCAGTATTGGCGTCAAAGTGTCAGCCAAATGCGTGTCGGTTTGACGACTAATCGTTTGCATTCGGATGAGGGGCTAAGGAAGTTGCTCACCAATACTAAGACTGGGTGATGGAATTTGATAGTCGTGATTTTTACTCACTTTTAAGAAGACTGTTCACATGCTAATTTACAGTCAAATGCAAATGACTGAGTAGGCTTTTCTGAGTTTCTCGTCTCCAAACTACCTAATGTTGAATTTCCCAAACCAGCTAATTTTCTTCAAATTGCAGTTCTTTGAATGTCCGTCTATCTAAAGTTTTGACATTTCTAACCACAGAAGTGTTGCTATTCTTGTCTCCTTCATGTTTCCTATTCATTTAAAGTCTTGTATTATTATTATTATTATTATTTCAGTGGTTAAATTCATCCCTTGGTACTGGCTTGCGAGTGGTTAGCAGTCTCTCGCATCGTTCGGCGTTTTGCATGTGGTGGGTTGTAACAGTCTAAGTAGATTAACGTAATAGTAGCGAAAAGTCGGAGGTAGCCACCCATGCTGCAGAGATGGGGCACGTCTTCAATTTTGACGCCGTCGAAATTGTGGGCCGAG